TCAGCCAACAACTTCCGAAGGATTCCCGTTATATTTGAACCGTCTGGAAGAATTACTTGTCACTTACTGAAGGAACGTACTGAAATAAACACATCAAAGCCATTACAACCTGAGCCTGCTTCGTCCGAGGTTGAGTTCGATACTCGAGCAGGTACTGCTCAAATTCCGGCATAACCGACAACTTAATTCTGGGATATACCGCCGTGTAGTACGTCGAAAGTCGACCGTTTCGGAGGAACAGTTTGCCTCCATCTTCAGGGTCGAAGAATAAATCAAGCAAGAAACCAGCACGAAGCACATAGGAAGCAACGTCGATTGACTTAAAGCGTACTACACGGCGTTATATCCCAGAAGACGGAGTTCTTGATAAGCGTCGCTGTGAGAACCTCAAATCCAACTAACAACTTAATTGTTTGGAACAAGGAAGACTCTACCCAGTAATGAGAGGAGTCTACCGCAGAATCAGTAAATAGAAAGTGCGATAAAAGTCGCTGTAATAATCACAGAGAATATCTACATACAAAATTATATCCAGCAGTCTCCTTTCAAGGTTAACTCCACACAATAGGGCAGCATATCAGCTATTTATAGATTTCAGGAAAGCCTATTATTCCTTTAGATATGATGCATTGTGCAGGATTCTCCGCGAATTCAGTACATCCACGGAACTAGTTAAATATAAGCAGAACACATGTTTAGATGAAATCTTCAGGGAATTTTAATGCTACAGGTTAGACGTATGTATATGCCAGGAGGAAGATAATTGGGGCGCATCGGCTGTGAGTCTATGTTAATGATGCTAATATCCTGATTAGAAACAAAAATGCTGTCACGTCTCCTAGGTAACGCGACAAGAAATTAATGGGGTCCGGATTAGACGAAGCCGTTTATTGGATTAGTCTTTCACAATCACAACTACAGTCACGCTGAAATAGCGTCTTCCAGACGCTGCGACCTGACTACTCCGTCGTCTCTCACGTTTCGTCTTCTGATCCTTGGCCGAGCTTCTTTTTCTGCTCTCAGCTCTGCTCCGTTCGCCACTGACCTGACCTCAGCTCCGGTCTTATCTTCTACAGTCCGATCAACTAGAAGACACATTCCTGAAGGGTCTCGCTTTACAACTGCCGCCTAAGCAACGATGTATTCACTGTTCCTTGTATGGAAAACACAACTACTGAGCCGTTGTCTAGCAATGGACGCTCGCGGCACGCCAAAGTACCATGAAGATAGCAGACGCTCTACTGGAATTTATATCAGAAATAAACGTTAAGAAAACTACGTGTATATTTATTTCTTCCCATGAGAATACAGGACGAAAGTCATAATATAAATTCGGGGAACAAATACTTCGGATATGTGGTAAAGCTCAAATATTTGGGAAGGTCATTAACAAATTAAAGTATCATTCACGAATACATTAAGAGCAGATTAAGGTAGCTGAATGCTTGCCAAAATTCCGTTCAGAATTTTCTGTATTTCCGCCAGTCATCTCCAAGAAAAAACTGGACTGTAATTTTACTTGCTTTGCATGGATGTGCAGCTTGGTTTCTCACGCTAAGAGAAGAACAAAGATTAAGGATCTTTATGTGTTGCAGCCTACTGCGTCGTGTCAGACCCATCTCAACCCAACTACCTCTATCAGTATTGTACCCAGATATCAACCACAAGCCAGCCGGAACACTTCACACGTAGCAACAACGCTATCGCACCGACACAACAGCCAAAGAGTGACTACTCCATGCAAGAATCCACATTCCTTACGAAGAACTAGAATACACGGTCAGAGTAAAAGGTAAAGATGTCCCTGTGCTTAACTAATTAAGCACTGCGCCATGAAGGCGTATGGGGGAGTGGATATATACATATTTTCTTGACCTCGCCACTAGTTAGAGGTGAGTGGTCAGCTTCACGACCCTGCCGCTTTACCCCCGGGGAAAGAGCATCCCGTACCCATTGGGTAGGAGGTTGGGTGGACTCTGGACGACGTGAATAAGAGAAAACTCTTGACCCTACCGCGACTCGAACTCCGACCCCTCGGTCGCCCAGCCCATAGCCAGTCGCTATACCGGCTCTTTACACGATCAGTGTACCAGAGAAATAATATAGTACTTATATATCGTCGTCTTAAATTTGATATTAATTATTTACAATAATAGTTTTAATCAGTTAATTCTAATTCTAACTTTGAGGATCTTGTAACAAGTTCAATATCAAAACAAAGAACCCTACAATACTGATCCACATTAGGTATAAGTTTGGCACTTAAGATTAATCTGAACCTGATTATGACCCATTAGCCATTAGGGGTCGAAACATGTTGTGCCTCAGATATAAGACCTTGATGTAAACAGGTCATCTGTATATTTTTTTTATAAATTATGTTGACTGAAATATGAAATAAACATTTTTTATACGGATTAAGATGTTTGAAAACAGGTGCTGAGGAGAATACTTGCATATAACAACAGGCTAGGCAAAGCTGCATATATTGTTACGCCGAAATGAAAGAGGGCAGAACAACGAATATAGAGATCGAATTGAAGCAGGCCACCTTCTTGTCATAAAGCAAGCCGAAACCTCGTGAACAGCTTAATACCCAGAAAGTCTGAAATTAACAAGATCTTAAACCTTGGGTGTGTTTCACGGCGGCGCTTCGTTGCCCAGGTTCAAACAGTCTCTGGGGCCCACCAAGCTTTAAACCCAGTGAGTACCGGGGCTCTTTCCACGAGAGTAAATCGACCGGAGAGTGATGCTGACAATTCCTCTCCCTCTAGGACTGACGTTAAGAATGTGTGGGGTGACATCTCCATCGGCCGTAAGTCTTCATGATGAGCTGCTTAAGCAAGCGCAGGAACTTTACCATTTTATAACAATTCATTATCTAATCCCAAGTAAGTATTGTAAGATAAAAGGCCACATTCCTCATAAAATGCATTAATCGCCAGGAAATGTAGCCCTATTTGCAATCGTACTGCAAGCGCCATAGCTCAAGCTGTTAGTCGCTGGCTTCCCACCGCGGTTGCCCGGGTTTGGTCCCGGGTCTGGTCAAGTGGGATTTGTGGTGGACAAAGTGGCGCTGGGGATGTTTTCTCCGAGTACTTCTGTTTCCCCTGCCAATCTTCACTATACCAACTGCTCCACAATCACCCTCACCTATCACCTGGGGCTGGTACAACAGACCAGAAGTGGCCGCAGTACAAGGAACTTAGTCCCACCCACTAGCAATACAAAACTCGTGCTACAATGCAACAGGACTGGAGCCAGAATACCTAGGTCGGTATAGTGATGACGATACGGGCTGCACCACCGAGGAAACGGGGGTCAATTCTAGGTACGGATAAATTATTTTTTTTTAATTCTCTTGTGGGCGGGGGAGTCCAACTGAGTCCGCCTGCCCTGTGTGATTATTATAATCGAGAATTTGATGGCTCGGAAGCCGGGATCGTGGGTTCGACTCCCACTCAGGGCATGGATGTTTGTGTGCGTTTTTCTGTGTTTGTGTACAGGTATAGGCCTTGCGACGAGCTGATCACCCGCTCAAGGAGTCCTACCGAATGTTTAAGATCTAGTAAACCGAAGTGAAACGGAGAATTTCATGGAGGTAGGCCTACGCCCAATTTGGGGCTGTAGCGCCAGAGGAAAAAATTAAATAAAAACTACACACTGGCCAGTTAAGTCAATGGCAAATTCAAAATATTAATACAGGAAACATATTTGTTACAGGCTGCCTAATTTAGGAGAAAGATATTTTGTTCTTAAAAAAGCAACTCAGAATGGAATTATTTGACGAGAGACTTAAGTCTAGAAGCTTGGTAAAACTCACGCTAGTCATGGAAATGTTTACAGAGAGCCTGTGAGTGATTAACTGTGAAATAAAGCAACTGCGTGCAACAGAAGTAATGATGCCGACAAGTTCTCAGTTATCTAATATAAATTCCGTGGCCTGTAGTCCGCAAGCGAACTATACCGACCGAGCGACCGCCGCTTGTCGGCGAAGTTAGTGCCAACTTTAGCGGATAGAGGGTGTCACGTGGTCAGCGCAACGAATCCCCACGGACGTTAATCTCGGTTTTCTACACCGGAGCCGCTATTTCCTTGAAATATCTCCTCAATTATCCTCACGAGGCTGAGTGGATCCTGTTCCAGACCCACTACTCAGAAAATCTGGTAGCGCCGGAAATAGAACCCGGGACCTCTGGATCTGTAGCCAGGAACTCTGACCACTAAACCATAGATGCATGTGCCTTATTTTCTATTACTATCAAGGTGATGAACATACACACACACCTAAATGGAAAGTACTATTTTCTCGCCCAAGACGCTTGAAATCTCCAAAACAACTAGCATTTACAAGCATCCACTATCTGTTAAAGAAAACTTTAAACAAACAGATTCTAAAGTCACATTAGGTTTCCTCGTGTGTTTCGGTAACTCGAAATTATAAATGACAGGAAACGCTTACATCATAATGGCCTATCCAGAGTATTCGTGCCTGTTTTCAAAAGAAAAAGCTTCACAGTTCAATACTAATACACTTCATACACTATTATCAACAGTCACAGAACTGAAATAATAGGACGTTCGTTCGCGACCTATTACGAAGACTATTTTTACACAGGAAAAAAAAACATGGTACTCAAAGCGAGATTTCGTCAGTCTGATCCCAAAACTTTTCCGCCATCAGGGCGATGCTAGCTTTCAAATGTGAGCTCGTTCTCCTTCGTAAGCGCTTGTGTTCACTTATAATTTCAACCAGATAAAAAAACGCTTAAAGAATTAAATATATGCCCATGGACAGCATAGGTTTACTACATTCAAAGTTTGACCGAAATCAGTCAAATGGACAAGCGGCCATAACGGAAACAACTAAGGCAGTACTTGACACTGTTTAAAAAAAAACACGTAAGCTGACTTAATGAAGATATCTGTTTCCTCTGTTCAACAGGACACTCTAAGCTGCAGCGCGTGGTACAGGTCGGCAATAAAGATGGAAGACTCACCTCTTTCTTCCTATTTTTCACCGCCGGCCCTGTAACGAAATAAACAAAAACAATTAATCGACAATGCAAAATAAACGTACTAATAAAATGTCATTCTCCTTGCAAAGCATGGCAACCAGAAAATGTACAATGTAGATAACCCACACTTCAACCTAATGATGCAGATACTATAAACGGAATGTTCATAAGTAGGAAATGTGGTTTCTCACTGTATTTTACCAGAGCGTACTGTGGCATGTAGACCCGTTGCTGAGCAACGACCACGGGATAAGCAAAAAAACAGCCGCTTCAGCCTTTTGCTTCGCAAGCAAGCATGTTTTCACGGCAACAATTCGAAATAGCAACAGAGGGTCTCTTCTGTGCGGTCCGTGCTGAGATGTTATATGCGGACAGTTCGAGCAATGAGTGAGTGGACTAGGCTGCCACTGTATCATAAGATAAATAAGATAGACACGACCTGCTTTGCAAAGCCTGGACTGACAGAGAACGTATACAGTGCACAAGTTATATGTGCGACAACCCCATTCTCTCGTCAGACAGGATGTTACATAAGGACTATGACATAAAGGGTTCAGTTGCAAAAAAAAATCTCTAGTCGTGATTTTCAAGGTGCTTGGCACCAAGAACTGATTGGCAGTAAACCGCCAGTCGTAAAGTAACGCGGACTGACAGTGAGTGAGCTGTGGGGCAGTCGCCAGCCCGTAAAACTCGAGCAACAAAGCAGAGGACATTGTTGGGATCCGCTACAAGGCAACGACCGCTAAAGACAAGGCAGACTGAAAAGTCTTAGTACGTGTTGTAGTGAACTGCAGAATGTGTGAATTAGCGAGAGCGCTATAGTTACTTGCAGTTACCACCTGTAAGTGTTCAATAAATCAAATTACAAATCCAAACTTCGTCTACGGTCACTCTATCACGTGACAGCACAGTTGCGGAACGTTTTAATTTCACGCGAGCAAGAGACACGAACCACTGGCAGCCCGCATCCTTATTACACGATTTAAATGCTGCAACATATCGATGTAACACACAACTCCAATGCCCGATGGATGAGGTCAAGAGAAGTCCTCAAGAGTGTGGGGCTTAGAACATACTAATATTCTTGGACAAGAAGATAAAATGTTCTCGCAACTAAGAGCAGAAAACTGAAAAGTTCCTGCCATTTCTGGCTGAGAAACATATAAGCAGCTTATGTGATTCACCAAAGGAAAGACCTCATTATACACAATTTATACAAACTTTCAAAACAAAACTGTTTTTGTTTTATGTTTTTATGACGGTGAGTGCCCCGATTATAGTCTTGTGGGTTGAGACGCTGTGGAACACTGTAGGTGGATATGCGGGGTGTTTAGTTCCCAAAGATTGAGGCAACATATTTTTCCAAACCGCTGGTAACCACCTACAATACGCCTTCTACACGGAGCCACAATCCAGACTGTTATAATAAGAAATCAGCTTTTTTATCAAAACATGTTAAGGAGAATAAATTATACACATTTCTATATTCTACGAAAAGCACGCCTGAGTTCTAATGCACGTGGTAAACATGGTTAACACTCCCAGCAAAACTACATGAAAAATTCTGTAAACGGTTAAAACTTTCAGGAAAGCAGAAAAAAAGGAAATTCAACTGCTAACTTGAGCTTTCCCTTTTGAAGTTCAGAAGGCTCCAGACAATCTTCAGCTGGAACAGACTGACCTATGAGTGACGAAGGACTAAACAAGAAGTTCAATTCTGTGAAATGTGCCGATTTCTTTGGACTGCTTTGTGTTTCCAAATGCAGCAGCTCCAAATACTTGGTGAAGATGTGAAACCTTGTGTCCATACAACTGTGAACCATATTTTTACGGAAGTTTAACAAATCAGACTTAAGAGTACTGGCAACAGGTGGATATCTGGCTGCAGCTTTGCACATTGAAATGTGAACGAAAATGACACCAACTGTGTGACCGGCGCCAATGACCGTATTAATTTGATGAGTTGTGACAATGAATTCAAAGTTATCAGTTTTCTAGACTTCGAAGATGCTTTGGCAATTACATGACCTCTTTCCGGCCCACCAAATTAAATGTGACTTCTGGTGTAGTCCTTCCAAGAAAGTCTTCCTACGTCTGTTGTAAAAGGTACGTTCCATTCCTCTTTTAATTTTGTATAATTATAAAAATATTACTTATCTCAAACAGACATCAAATATAACGATAGATCTTACAATGTAGCCGATAATAATGCTGTCAGAACGATGAAATCATCTTTGCTTCTTTATGACTGGAGACATAAACAACTGCTCCACCAACCCTTTAAAGGCCAGCAAACAGCGTCATTATACGCCCCCACCTCTCTCTCATACACATATACATTATTATATATTGTGACATGTAGACCCGTTGTTGGGCAACGACTTGGTAAAAACATTCCCGCGACAACGGATACGCAAGCAACAATTAGACAGTTTTCGTTGCTATGCAGCGCCCTGTAAATACAATACAGGAAGAGGTGTTTTCTATGTGGTTCGCAAATGTCCACTTCTGGGCAACGAATGTGCTTTCTGTGGGTCCGCCTCGACACTATACAAGTAGTGTAGTCGTAAATGAGAAGTCAGTTGCAGAATCAGAACGAGAATGGAACGAGTCCTCGGCAGTCAAGGGAGAACGGCTGAAGACTGTTCGCTCAACAGCTCACAATTGATTGTGATTAAGAGAGATTGTAAAACAAGGCGTTAATAAATCCAATCCAAACCCCGTTATTATTATTCACGGAGCCATAAACACGTAACAATGTATATACATGTATGTGAGTGTGTATATATACGTATAAACATACACATATATACAGGAAATAATATGACCTCATATGATTCACTCTGAATTATTCCAGGCTTATTTTGTGTCCCATCGGGTTATCACGGAAGCAATATAACACAGAATTCAGACATGAATCTTGCATTTAATTGCACATTTTTGGCGCGACATGGAATCCAAATTCAACTTCACAGGAGGGTTTCATTCAATGTAATGTTTCTAACCGGACGTCATATTGACAGAATCAACCGAGTTTAGGCGAATAGAGATAATGGTTCGATTCCAACACGGTGGAACGGCATCAGAAAACAGAAACAGTACCAGCAGGTGGGAGATTCCCACACGGTGGCTATCCACGTGTTCACTTCAATGTGCACAACATGTCAGCCGTTAAACAACTCGCTCTATGGTTCAAAATTAGTAAATTAACCTTTACAAGCAGGCCTACACAATGTCAGTTCGGTAATAAATGCCATATAGCTTCAATATTGGGCATTAAAGTTGAATTACGAATCAATAATTACATAATGTGGTTTCTTTAAACAATATCCAGTATGTTAATTTTAACCAGACAAGATATGAGGCATCAGAATCGTCGCCATGTTCACAATTACCATTAAAGAAAATGTTTCACGCAAAATGTGTAGGTAACCGCAAGATCTAATTTCATAAACACGTCACACGTCTAGGATGAAACCAAAACCTGATTGTAGATTTTGCAATATTTCTCTAACAAGAACTGTATATTTTTCGGCAGAATTTTACCGCACAAATTTCAGGACCCCAATGGAAGAAAGGCAGACCAAGAATAAGATGGATGGATGGATGGATGGATGGCGTGGAGAAGGATTTGAGGAGCTCGGGTGTGGGAGTGGGTGTGGTTAACTGGAAAACAAAGGCACAAGAACAGGATGGCTGGAGAAAGTTTCCAGACCAGGCCAAGACCCACAAAGGATCGCAGTGCCAATATAATAATAATAATAATAATAATAATAATAATAATAATGTGACGCCAACGTAGCACCCACATCAGAAATTTTTGGTCACCAAACTTGCATCATTCATGATGAGAAAACAAGGGAGAGAGGCAGAAGCAGCCAGACATACGATGTATATATATATATATATACCCATTCGTCCTTTCAAAATAAAAAAAATATGCTAGAAACTCCAATTACGATATGCGAAGGAAAATCTGTCCCTGAATTAAACATGCTTATTCACGTAGAACTTTCCAACAATCCTGTACAATGCGCACCTAAAAAATAAATTAAAATTGATATATTAACAGTCAGATAGCTATTTACTATATTTAAAACTTGTTGCCTATATTTTGTACATAAAATAATTCCAAGGAGCAGAGTCCTTTAGGCTAAAAACGCGCGACAGTAGACCCCACACTGAGCCAGGTGGAATCAGACCACGTCCTCATACCGTATACCTTTACGGTAAACTGTAGTTCTCCTGCAATCTGCGTCGAGATCGCCTTCCTTTCAGGTAACACTGATGCGTCTCTTCAGCCTTCTCCTCGCCCCTTCCAATTTTTGAACCAAGTAATTAATTTTAAAGAAATCCCGCATAAATATTACTCCATTCACTACAGGCCATCCCAACCTGATACTTTCAGCAGACTGCTTGACCGTGTCTCACGGTGTTGTCGCTTGCAGATTTACCTATACTTCTTCAACCCTGAAGATGGGGGCGATACGTTCCTCCGAAACGTCGGTTAACACCACATATATACGGTGCCAAATCCCAGAAGACTGCTTTCTTAATATTAGAATGGATCTTAGAGAGATAGGATGGGATGGGATGGATTGGATAGATCTGGCTCAGGATATGGACCAGTGGAGGGCTCTTGCGAACAAGGTGATGAACTTTCGGGTTCCATAAAATTCTGGGAAATTCTTGAGTAGCTGCAGAATTGGCGGCTCCTCCAGAAGGGCTCAGCTCCATGAGTAAGTAAGTAAGAAGACCGGTAATAACAACACATACACATGAAACTGTGGAGTGGGAGCGGTATTACCGCTACTTGATACAGGTATAAAAAGGTAAAGCTATCCCTGTAACAGGCCGTGGAGGCCCATAGGGTTGTGAGACGTCGAGGCTCCCACATTTTCTAGACAATCGGCTCACAGATGGCGATGAGGTTGTCAGCCTTGCTCGACGGCCACCCTTTAACCCGAGAAAGATTCCTGGTACTCATTTCTATTAGAGGCTGAGTCGACCC